TTGGGGGGACGGAATGTGTCTAGTGGGGGGAGTCAGGAGCCATCAGCCTCTATTAGAAGCTCTGTGTTCCTTTCACATTTCCATTACAGTAGAATGGGGAATGTCAGCTTATAGCTTATTCTTACAATATTATAAATATTTGTGAGCTGCCACATTGTAATGTATACGTTGACTGTATTTCAGGTATTTCAGGGGGGGGTGGACAAACACTCTAAGACCCTACACCCACAGTTGGTAGTGTATCCATAGTCCTCCTGGATCGACACCTTTTACTCATAGTCCTCCTGGAGCAGCACCTCATACTCATAGTCCTCTTGGAGCGGCACCTCATACTCACAGTCCTCCTGGATCGACACCTTTTACTCATAGTCCTCCTGGAGCAGCACCTCATACTCATAGTCCTCTTGGAGCGGCACCTCTTACTCATAGTCCACATTCTCCGGCTCCTAGAGCCAGGAGAAGAAGCTGGAGAAGCAGATTGCTGCTTCATCAGCTTCTTTGGGGTCCCTAGGTAACATTAGGGGTCTGTCAGCCCCCTGAAGTCTCCATAAAGAGGACCTGTCACTTATTTTCTATTACATGGGGGCTTGTTAGCGGTTTCACGGGCGCACGCCATTTTAAGGCTTGACATGTTTGGTATCTATGTACCCGGCGTGACCCCGTCTCTCATATTTTACCAAAAAAATTGGGGATTATATTCTGTTTCTGTGCACTGAATTTTAATTTTGTTTATTGTATCCTAAAAATAGCGGTTTGATAAACATTTGCGCAAATACCGCATGACATAAACAATTGCAACTGGCATCTTTTTATTCTACAGGGCCTCTGATTTCAGAACGTATATCATTGTTTAGGGGTCTGAAGCTGTTTATCATGTGTGTACTCCGGACAGGAAGTGGTTATTGAAGGTTGGTTTAACCTCTTCTGTCCCCTCCAGGTGGACGGTATGTGGAGAGTAACACAGAGGATCGTCTTGTTATATATCCAGATTGTGAGATAGAAGATGAGGAGGACATCACACTCCATCCTACCAAAGGAAACCCCATGACCCAAAATCGCCATCCAGCTCCTTGCCGTGCAGATCTTCAGTCCGGACCCTCCACACACGCGGGGTGGCTTTCGGGGGACTATTATCACGTTGCCCATCATGAAGACCGTGGAAGCCCTTATAGTATACCATGTCCTGAATGTGGCAAATGTTTTAGCGAAAGGTCAAAGCTCACCGCGCATCGGAGGTCTCACTGCGGAGATAAGCCTTATACCTGCATGGAGTGCGGCAAGTCCTTCAAGCAGAGCGGCCACCTCGTTTCACATCACAGGACACACACGAGAGTACATCCATATTCGTGTTCCGAGTGCGGGAAGTGTTTCTCCCAGAAATCGAACCTCATCAGACACGAAAAGGTCCACACAGGGGAGAAGTCCTTTTCGTGTCCCGAATGCGGGAAACGTTTTTCGGAGAAGTCCAACCTTATCAGGCACGAGAAGATTCACACGGGAGAGAAGCCCTATTCGTGCTCCGAATGTGGGAGGCGGTTCTCTCTGAGGGCCAATCTCATTGCGCATGTGAGAATTCACACCGGGGAAAAGCCGTTTGCATGCTTCCAGTGCGGAAAACGTTTTTCCAGGAAGTCGGTTCTTAATATACACGAGAGGGTCCACACGGGGGAGAAGCCGTATTCATGCGCGGACTGCGGGAAGTGTTTTTCAAAAAGGTTTCTTCTCGCCAGGCATGCAAAGCTTCACACGGGAGAGAAGTCGATCTCCTGCCCTGCAATGGACTCGTTGCCCACAGAGCCGATCTCTTCCTTCACCAGAGGACTCACAGAGGTTATAAACCAGTTTTGTTATCAGACTGTGGACAGTTTCCACATGAGTGCTCCCTTATCTCAGGTCCCACTTCCTGCCGGGGACAGGAGTTTCCTGTATCACAATGTGGCAGGCGAATGAACCACAAAGGGCTCTTTTACAGGGCGGACTCAGTCAAGCTTTCCTTTGCAAGACGCTGGACAACTGCTGGTCACTTGAAGTGTCAGTCAACCCATTGTAACTTTTTTCTATTATATAATAAATAAATAAAATTATTTAAATCAGACTAGAGTTCCAAATAACTTGTTTTGTCGTTTTCTATGCCACAGTCACGTGACAATATTGAACTCGCTCCGCACAGGGCTGGCTATGTGCACAGGGGCCACAGTCATGCCGGAACAGAAAAGGACCTTCATGATTGGGAGTACATTATTGCCCAAAATGCCTTTAACATTAACAGCACCCTTCACCTGAAACACCAGAACTCCATCATTCGGAGGGGTATCCACATGCGTGTGGCCACATAGTGTACATTCGCTGATCTCCTGAGTGTCTAGTTGCCCGGTTCTTATGCTGACCCCTTGGCTTTAATAATACATCATCGTCTCAAAACAAGTCTGTAGAGCAGGAAAGTCTGAACTCTTTTTTTCATACTTGTCTCAGCTAAGTGACTCAGAGTATTAGTTAGTAAAACAGTCAATATGACAGCCAAGTAACTAGCATTTTCGGAAGGGGAGGATACCAATGGTAGCTTCTATGCTCCCCCTAATACTGAGAGCAAAATCCAACTGCCTTGTGTTGGTGTGGGCTTGGTTTAAGCATCCATGTTTGTTTATGAAGGGGGGGAGTTGTACTTACACATCCTTCGGAATGATATCTGGGATGTAGGTGGGTATAGAGATAAGGTCTTTGTGGGGTTAGAGGTGGTACGTGTTATTAGGTAGGCTCTATATTGCATCCATCGGGGTCCAGACTTTGGTAAGAAGAAACCATTTATAACCATTTATAAGGCCCTACCTTACCATCTTGTCTTAAATTGTATTGTGACTGTAATGTCTTCCTTATATTGTAAAGCGCTGCGCACACTGTTGGCGCTATATAAATCCTGTATAATAATAACTTTCAGAACGTGAAAATGGTTTCTCCCGTTGTGAGCTCTCTCAATGTATCCATTCAGCCTATGCACGGCTCGGAGTTGATGGCCAGTGGGGATTCTCTGTTGTATGGCCAAAGCTATGAACGGTCTTTAAAGCACTTTCCATGTTTTACAGAGAAATATGGAAGAACACTGCTGAACTAGGTTGGATGTATCCGTAAAGCTTCCCCTACAAACTCAACACATGTATGGTTTCTCTCCCATGTATAGAAGGATCTGGTCAGTGGGCAAAATAATTTACACATTTGGTGCAGGAAATGTGAGTTCTTTCATGTGCACTAAGGTGTCCTATACAGTGAGGAAAATAAGTATTTGATCCCCAAGCAGAACATGACTTAGTACTTGGTGGAGGAACCCTTGTTGGCGAGCACAGAGGTGAGACGTTTCTTGGAGTTGGTTACCAGGTTTTCACCCATCTCAGATCTTTACAGATCTTCTCTAAATGCTGCAGGTTTCTTGGCTGTCGCTTGGCAACTCGAAGTTTCAGCTCCATCCATAAATCTTCTATAGGATGAAGGTCTGGAGACTGGCTAGGCTTCTTCTTGAGCCACTGCTTTGTTGACTTGGCGGTATGTTTTGGGTCATTGTCATACTGAAAGACCCATCCACGACCCATCTTCAGTGTTCTGGCTGAGGGAAGGAGGTTCTCATCCAAGATTTTACAATACATGGTCCCGTCCATTGGCCCCTCAATGCGGCAAAGTCAGCCTGCACCTTTAGCAGAGAAACAGCCCCAAAGCATAATGTTTCCACCTCCGTGCTGGACTGTAGGGATGGTGTTCTTAGGGTCTTGGTCAGTATTTTTCTTCCTCCAAACACGGCGAGTCGAGTTAATGCCAAAGAGCTCAATTTTGGTCTCATCTGACCGCAGCACTTTCTCCCAATCCTTCTCTGAATCATTTAGATGTTGATTGGCAAACTTCAGACGGGCCTGTACATGGGCCATCTTGAGAAGGGGGACCTTGCGGACGCTGCAGGATCTCAATCCATGGCGGTGCATTGTGTTACCAATGGTTTGTTTGGTGACTGTGGTCCCAACTGCCTTGAGATCATTCACAAGCTCCTCCCGTGTAGTTCTGGGCTGATCCCTCACTGGTCTCATCATCACCCTTACCCCATGAGGTGAAATCTTGCATGGAGCTCCAGCCTGAGGGCGATTGATGGTTATTTTGTATTCCTTCCATTTGCGAATCATCGCCCCAGCAGTTGTTTCCTAGTCACCAAGCTTCTTGCTGATAGTCTTGTAGCCCATTCCAGCCTTGTGCAGGTCTACAGTCTTCTCCCTAACGTCCTCTGGCAGCTCTTTGGTCTTGCCCATGGTGGTGAGGTTTGAACGGAAGAAAGAGATTCTGTGCACAGGCGTCTTTTATATACATGACGGGCTGTCGTTAGGAGCACCTTCTTAAAGTGACAGGACTCATCTGTGTACCACATGGCCAGTCTGTAGGAGGAGCCAGAATTATTGTTGGTTGGTAGGGGATCAAATACTTATTTTACTCACTGAACTGCAACTCCATTTATAACAGTTGTATCATGTGATGTCTCTGGATTTTTGGTTGATATTCTGTCTCTGTCATGTAAAATACACTTGTGATAAAAATTATAGACCTTTCTTTGTAAGTGGGGAAACTTACAAAATCTGCATCTGGGGATCAAATCATTATTTTCCACACTGTATGGCTGAAATACTTCCTGCATTCTAGACATGAATGTTGCTTCCTTGTCTAACCAGAACCTTGGTGAGTAGGTTCTCCAGGGAAGAGATCACAGATAGACATGTGCACCGGCAAAAAAGTTTCATTTCGATTCGGATTTTGCGTTATTTCGTTTTTCGGGATTTGGATTCGGACGAAATTGATTAGCGGTAATCTGGCCGATATTGTAACTTTTTTCTATTATATAATAAATAAATAAAATTATTTAAATCAGACTAGAGTTCCAAATAACTTGTTTTGTCGTTTTCTATGCCACAGTCACGTGACAATATTGAACTCGCTCCGCACAGGGCTGGCTATGTGCACAGGGGCCACAGTCATGCCGGAACAGAAAAGGACCTTCATGATTGGGAGTACATTATTGCCCAAAATGCCTTTAACATTAACAGCACCCTTCACCTGAAACACCAGAACTCCATCATTCGGAGGGGTATCCACATGCGTGTGGCCACATAGTGTACATTCGCTGATCTCCTGAGTGTCTAGTTGCCCGGTTCTTATGCTGACCCCTTGGCTTTAATAATACATCATCGTCTCAAAACAAGTCTGTAGAGCAGGAAAGTCTGAACTCTTTTTTTCATACTTGTCTCAGCTAAGTGACTCAGAGTATTAGTTAGTAAAACAGTCAATATGACAGCCAAGTAACTAGCATTTTCGGAAGGGGAGGATACCAATGGTAGCTTCTATGCTCCCCCTAATACTGAGAGCAAAATCCAACTGCCTTGTGTTGGTGTGGGCTTGGTTTAAGCATCCATGTTTGTTTATGAAGGGGGGGAGTTGTACTTACACATCCTTCGGAATGATATCTGGGATGTAGGTGGGTATAGAGATAAGGTCTTTGTGGGGTTAGAGGTGGTACGTGTTATTAGGTAGGCTCTATATTGCATCCATCGGGGTCCAGACTTTGGTAAGAAGAAACCATTTATAACCATTTATAAGGCCCTACCTTACCATCTTGTCTTAAATTGTATTGTGACTGTAATGTCTTCCTTATATTGTAAAGCGCTGCGCACACTGTTGGCGCTATATAAATCCTGTATAATAATAACTTTCAGAACGTGAAAATGGTTTCTCCCGTTGTGAGCTCTCTCAATGTATCCATTCAGCCTATGCACGGCTCGGAGTTGATGGCCAGTGGGGATTCTCTGTTGTATGGCCAAAGCTATGAACGGTCTTTAAAGCACTTTCCATGTTTTACAGAGAAATATGGAAGAACACTGCTGAACTAGGTTGGATGTATCCGTAAAGCTTCCCCTACAAACTCAACACATGTATGGTTTCTCTCCCATGTATAGAAGGATCTGGTCAGTGGGCAAAATAATTTACACATTTGGTGCAGGAAATGTGAGTTCTTTCATGTGCACTAAGGTGTCCTATACAGTGAGGAAAATAAGTATTTGATCCCCAAGCAGAACATGACTTAGTACTTGGTGGAGGAACCCTTGTTGGCGAGCACAGAGGTGAGACGTTTCTTGGAGTTGGTTACCAGGTTTTCACCCATCTCAGATCTTTACAGATCTTCTCTAAATGCTGCAGGTTTCTTGGCTGTCGCTTGGCAACTCGAAGTTTCAGCTCCATCCATAAATCTTCTATAGGATGAAGGTCTGGAGACTGGCTAGGCTTCTTCTTGAGCCACTGCTTTGTTGACTTGGCGGTATGTTTTGGGTCATTGTCATACTGAAAGACCCATCCACGACCCATCTTCAGTGTTCTGGCTGAGGGAAGGAGGTTCTCATCCAAGATTTTACAATACATGGTCCCGTCCATTGGCCCCTCAATGCGGCAAAGTCAGCCTGCACCTTTAGCAGAGAAACAGCCCCAAAGCATAATGTTTCCACCTCCGTGCTGGACTGTAGGGATGGTGTTCTTAGGGTCTTGGTCAGTATTTTTCTTCCTCCAAACACGGCGAGTCGAGTTAATGCCAAAGAGCTCAATTTTGGTCTCATCTGACCGCAGCACTTTCTCCCAATCCTTCTCTGAATCATTTAGATGTTGATTGGCAAACTTCAGACGGGCCTGTACATGGGCCATCTTGAGAAGGGGGACCTTGCGGACGCTGCAGGATCTCAATCCATGGCGGTGCATTGTGTTACCAATGGTTTGT